CAGATTATGGCATTTCAGTGAGATGGTGCTTTAAACGTAACAAGTATTCCTGTCAGATGACACTATAAACAATATTAAGTAATATATATAACTGGCATTCGCTGTTACGAGTATGTAACACCGGTACCCTTGAAAAATTCCTAACAAAGATCGACGCGTCACCAAATAATCCTATTTTGAGAAAGGGTTTATTCAAACTAAGACAGTTTGCCATCGATAAATGCATTTACATATTGTACGTGTCTCCAATTTCTATTTCATGACCCATTGGCATATTTATGGTGTCTTCCAAAATTAAATATTGAAATCGCAAACGTTTATGATTCTATATATACATGATAAATGCGAACGGAAGTCAATCGGCTCTATATCCATATTTATGAAGTCTTCTTCATTACGCACATTCCTTTAATGTTTTCCTTACATGTAAATTACGTTTAGCGCGGACATTCCGCAGCGTAGGAGTATGTGGGCTTCAAAATTAAACTTTCAATCCGCAGAACAAAACCAGTTATAGACTCAGCTAATTATCAATATTTCTTAAATATGCGATGGCTTAATGTTGTTTACATGTTTCAGTTGATTCGATATTTAACATCATGTTCCAATCACCACGATTTTCGTGCAAGAAGTCGTCAACTGACGGAAAATCTCGTACCACATGTTTTTTCAAAGACAGAGGTTGATGAACATTAGGGGGAAATTTTACGGTCGTCATAGTGATCTAATTAAGAAATACTGTTTTTGTCTTTGTGTGATATGAAGCTGATTAATGCTCATTAGTTTACCCGTTGGTTGTGTTTCCCCCATTTGAGGACATGACATTACATGGCGTTTGTCGTCGATGAAACAGCAGACGCTTACTCGTCAAGAACAGCTGGTCATGTTAGCCTTGTACTTTTTCCTTAGTCTCTATGAAATTCTGTCTTTTGTTCGTATTTGCCCTAGCTTTATTGAAATTGATTATATTTTTATATCAATAAAGAGTTGTTTTCATTTTCCAATATCTATATATAAAGTACATAGAGATTGCTTGTGCGAACGTTGTGATATGGCGTCCTCACTACCAAGAAAAATGTAAACATGAGGTAAAATCTACTATAGATCTATGATTAGTAAATATAAATATTTGAAAGAGAAAATAAGTTATTTACTAATATAATGAAAAAACCTAGAAAATATCTCCAGAAGTACAATACACATGATGTCGATGACATAGCATAGATATTCTGTTTGACAAAACATAGATATTCTGTATAATGACATAACAAAATATCTCGTATTCCTTTTATATAATATGAAATTATATTAATTATTATTCTGTAATCCTTTTATCATGAAATTAGCAATATAAATTCACTTTGTTTTCGCTGCTAAAGTCAACGCATAATCATAGGTTACTTTGTTAGTCGCATCAGATGTACTTCATATTGTGGGGTAAATTACATATGGCGAAGCAACATAATTGCGTAAATTTCTGTAAAGCTCTTCTGTCAGAATATAAGTGACGTCGTTCGACCACAAAAATAACTAACGATCTCTCTTGGTTTTTATTCGACACTGATGAATCATGGCAATCTGTTATAATGACTTAAGAATATAATATCAAGCATTAGTTCAGGACGTAGCTTTGTTAAACTGTCATAGAATGAGATACATAAATCGTAATATTCTTATTAGTTATAACTCCAAAACATCCGATCGTAAATCAACAATGAAACCCATAAAACTTGTTTTATCGTATTTATTTTAACAAATTTTGAAAGCTGTAGAAAGTAGTGTTGATAATTGTATAATGTTGAGGATCATAAAGACTGAGGGCGTCTTACTGTGTCCTGTATGGAGCTACACACAGCTCGTACATCATTTCGACATTGCGTCAAACATTTCAGACAATGAGCTTTTATCTTTATCATCACGTAGTCATCACAGTTTATACACTTGACAATATGCAACATACATAATGATTAAATGTGTATCATTACACAGGGTTTTAAGTTTTTATCTTAATATCTATATATGTTTATAATACAATCACTGGTAGAACACCTGTTTAATGTGATTGATACATACAGTGACGGTAGGTTTTTGTTGTACTGGAAGATTTAGAGTGACATAACCGTAGACAACGGGGGTTACACACAGGATTCTACATACCATTTGTTTCTTAGAAATTCTTTCCTGGCTAGATCATACGATAATTGCGCACACGGTCAGCTTCTTTGTTTCGTTTCTTGTGTTCTCGTCTTATACTTTTATCTTCAGTCTGAAACAAGAGGTGTTCAGGATGGGGGATTGGCCTGGTGTTTCTTATGGCTTTTGTCTCTAAAGGCTGACGGGATCTACTTGTCTATATCTAAACATTGGTAACAGTCGATTGTGAACCTATGAAAAAGCTAAATGATGCACTTCTCATCATTCGAAGTGTAGATGTGTATTTTGATCATCCCTTTAAATCCTGATGCTATTCCGTGGTGCTTTGAATTGTTTGACGATATCGGTGACTTCTTGTCTTTATATTATTGGGTATATTGATAGATGTTTCCCTCGTCTGTCTGAAAATCAATTTGTTAAAGGAAGATTCATAACCAAAGTCTGTTTACAATAACACACACAAGGGAATATATTTTTGGAGATGTTTATTGAAATGTCTAAATAAGTTCTAAATGTTCAAATCAAATAACACAGCATATGAACAAAAACACAAACAGAGAGCAGAGTATATATTGTACATAACAAGATATTAATCTTCAGATTCAATCTCGTACACACTTACTGGTTTGACCACATATAACGATTCCATCCTTTATGGAGGAGACACACATTCGGAACTGAAATAATTTAGGACCTTAACAAACTCGACATAAGTCTTATTTCTATGGTCGACATCGAAGGAATTACAAACACTAGTGTTCACCAAATGTCCGTTCTATGTATCACACGTGAACATGCTGTCCTAGTTTACTCAAATTTACTATTTTGATATAAGAACATGTTTATTTGGCTGCTTAATATTTTATCAAAATACATTAATCACGATATACCAGGATAATGAATGGTCACATAGAGACAATTATTGTACCGAAATTAGTAAACATCTTTTTCAAATCGTTTATCCGATCTAAAGAAATTATAAAGAAAAGTATAAATAGTTTAGCAACACACCATCTATCCTAAATTTTAACCATTCATGTAAAATCAAATATATGTTGAAGTTGCACAGTGCAGTTGATACAATACAATAACCTCATATATTACAATGTATATGTCACAGCTCTACAGTAACAAACCTCCAAATAATTAGTAGTCAGTTGACAAACACATGTATTCTTACAGTATAGAATGATCTAATATATAGATATACAGTTGATAGCATATGGCGATGGCTCATTATACAGTAGGTAAAACAGAAATAACAATATTGGAATTCGCGATTGCCTTATACATTATGTTTTTCATAATATGATATGTATTAAGTATTAAATTGTCATATATCTATATTCTGTATTGCATTTGCATATGTTATTAGTACGCCACATTGTAGTTTATGAAACTGTTTACTACAATCAACAGTGATTCGGTCAGGGTAGATATACAGTTAGACGTCTATCTAATCTGGAACCTTTGACACATTCCGTAAACCAGTGAACCAAGAATGTCATGCGATCTCTTTCGGTAAAAATATCCATTATGACACATCCAAAGTTGTTAGACAATAGTCATAGAACTTTACAAAAAAATTATTGCAAAGCATATTTGTTTTCCAGCACGAAATTAAATGTACAACAAAATAGCGCCTTAACATTTGTGATTATCAAATTTTGTCAACTTCGTTTGATAGATGACAATCTGACCGTCCATATGGAATCTGTTCCACATTAAACGTTGTTACTTGCTGACAGTGACAGGAGCAATCTTCATTTAGAATTTTCACGTTTCGAAAAGAAACAAATCCAAAATACGTAAATGTAAATAGTCCCGATAGAAAAAAAAACTAGACACAATGCTCCGTTCAATCCCATTGGGAACATTTTCCCTCCTTAACCAGATACCAATACACAATGATTGACTTTATCTCAAACGGAAAGGTATAATACCGCAATCGTTAAAGATTTAGCAACATGTCAACATCTTTAAACGTAAAAATCAAGGTAAATTGATGATCATACTACTTCATACGATGACCCTCTATGATGACATAATGAACTATATTATTACGGCTATTCTCGAATTTGAACTTGTTGACGTCATTATTTGGTTAAACAGGAAATCTAAACGTATTTTTTTTTGTGTGTGAGTGCTTTAGATCACAAAAATGTAAACGTAAATATATCATGATACTATGATGTTATATGTTACTAGATGGTAGTCTACAGGAACACAATATAATCATCTGTCAATCAACTGTATTCATATCGACTGTATACTACCACCTTATGTCACTTCATTACTTACAACATAGATAACTGATATGTATTCAGAACAGCAAAACTATATAACAGCTGGATCAAACAATGTGTGGTTTTTATTTGTTATCATAATATTTACCTAGTATAGATAAAATGAAATATATTAAGGCAAATACCGTTCATGGTCACATTTAAAAATATGTACATATGTATCGTTATTAGAATAAACCAACTAAATTATCTCGTGAGTTCATGAAAATTCGTGTAAAAAAATCTACAATATATAAATATTTCGTCACATCATAATCTCCACTGAAGCAATTTGTGTCAAAATAAAACAAAATTAATAAGTGCGGATAAACGCAGAAAATATCCTCTGCAAGGGACATGTGGTTTTTGTTTCGTTTGTTTTTTACAGCTTTAAAAGCAACAATTCTATCAGCAGTGATGTCTTAATGGACTTGCCTGTTGGCAATAGGAATGTATTCACACACGGTAATCTGACGCAGTGATCATGAAAACAAACTCCCAATCCTGGTGATGTAATCACTCAATACTTTTGAAGGTTTTTAAGGAATTTATGCTCTTAGTTTAGGAATTACTCCTCCCAACATTAACACACTCACAATGGGAGGGTACCTCGACAGGTAGGAACGTAACAGGAGGATAATGAGGGAGGTTGTCATCCCACACTAACATCCAGTGATGGCGATACATCTGTAAACACTGCCCTACTCCACAGCTTACATTTGACCTACAAACAAATAATTTACAACCAATGAAATGATAAATCTTCACTGTTTCCGTGTATGAGTTCACACATATAAAATATATATCTCTCTTGTAAATTTATGAGCAATTGAAAAATGTAAATATCTGTGACGTTCATCTGACAAACTTAATATATATATAGATAATGGTATCTTTGTTTGATATTTTTTCTTAAATCATTTACTTATTTCCCATGGTAATTTTTAATTTTCCTGAAAAACTGTATAATCTGTCACATGGAGCTGATACTTACGCACACCGCCCTGTTGGCACAAATTGAAAAGCATTTTTAAAGTGGACGACGTTCAGCTGGAAATTGGAACTGACTGTGGTATTGAACACCTCGTAAGCATAATCTCTGCAACAAGCAATACATTTTACATGTATACTCATAGGAACGAACAATCAATATTTCATTTACATATTTCATTTATGACAACTTATATTGTTGTTTAGGAAAGATGTACTGTCATGAATAAATTAACTAGTAAATATAATCCAATTGACATTACAATATCAGTTTAAAGTATTGGATTTTAAATACATTCTGGCCGAGAGAGAATTCTCCACCACTTAACGATATATTGTCATTACACCGATTTAACCAGTTATTATAGCTAGGTTTGAACTTTTTCCAATAATGTGATATTTAGTCAAACAAATACATGTGTGACCAGTCATGTCAATATATGTCATGTGAATTTTCAATTTTAATTTACCTTGCTCATCAAATCATAGTTAGCGTATTAATGCCTCATACCCCTGTATGATCTGTTTCTCTCTTTTATTTTTAATTCCTTATCATCTCATTTGGTTTAAATTGAGTTTATTGTACATAAATAGTAATAACATTGGGCACAAGTTTTGCGGCTTAAACAAAGCCCTTTTCAAACATATAAATGTTATATTCATTTCAACACTACAATGTTAGGTTTTAATTTTAAAATTCACCTTTAGATAGCTTAAATCTATCTCACTGTTTTGTTTTCACAAATAACGAAATGTGATATTCTTTCTTAATTATATGCTTACGTGTAACAGCAGGAATTTCTTGAGTTAGGAACAGGCCCAGGTCGTGGTCTAATTCCATCTACGTATGAATTCAAACCATGACCTCTCACACCTTCCGGTTTTATGACCGGAAGTTGTCGAAGGTCTCGAGGATTCATGAACAGCCCTCGGTACATGCTAAGTACGCTGTCTCTGAAGCTCTTTCTGAACTGCCATTTCGACCAGTTTCGACAATGACACCCCAACAGGTACCATCTTTGATGTTTGCCATCCGCGTGGATCAGAAAGACCGTGATCAGGAGCAGAAATCGGAGCAGACATTTAACACTTCTATATGACAGCATCTGTAACGGACAATTGAAAAAAGATGTTCATCAGTTGATAGCGTCACAACGAGAGTGATGTTAGGGTAATATAAAAATACAAAACAACATCAACCAACGTGACAGATAGGATTAACTAAAACAACATTGACACCGAAACCGAGACGAAACCTAAAAATCAATGTGGCAACCGTCAGAAAATATATTGTTGAATCAATACATTCATGTCATTTGTCAGGAACATTTTAAAATCTTTAACTAGTCTTAGCAACAATATAATGTTTGTTGTAGGCTTACAGCGTACAATTGTATATTCTTTCCACCAAACATTAGAGTTATATTCATTTAGTTGATGATAACTAGTTTCAAAATGATGATCAAGCAGGCTAAATGTCGAAGTACACTGTGAATCTTGTGAGTGAAGATCCATTAAACCATTACAGGAAAGTGTTAAGGTCGCTACACCAGCATTGAGATATGCTCTTTGCCTTTATATGCTAACTAGTGCTCTGTGATCCTTTTCTAAATGTTTGCTAGTTTCGTTGATACTTTCCCAATTTCATGCCGAGAACTTAACATTAATTGAATTTACTTTATATGCTTGATAAAGCAGCGAAAGTTAATTTCCGAAATATCTGGTCTTATATTCCCCCAAAATTTTATATTTCCGAGTTTTTGTTATTTTTATTATTATTTCCTGCGAAGGTTAAATAGGAGGTATATGATGATCTCCAAACAAATAAAGGAAACGGCGTTATTGAATCTTAAAAAATTGAATACGTCTGCGGTTTAACTTGTAGGGCGGTAAATGACTCGGGACGTTTTGCGATGAAGTGTCCACTCATATTAAATGATCTATAAAAGTTTTACAAAACTATGTCTGTCTCACACGGACCAGTTTTTAGACAGTTTATTTATCATTATATACGTTAAAGCAACGTCACAAAGTTAGAGTAATGTAGAAAAGATCCCGAGACAATGGATCAATGTATCGATTTATAATAGTGTCACACTAGACAGTTATCAATATACAGGATACTTGTTACTTGCATTTTACTTAAGGCAGAAAAAAACAATTCAATGAGCTGGTAGAATTTTAGATATGGTCAAAACCATCCTTATCGTGACAATGTGATAGATATATCAGAAATACATTGAATCAAGTTTCGCGTATGATTAAACAAATACAAATAGTGGTTTACTTTTAACTTTTATAAAACAAAGCCCAACATCTGTTTTGTTCTTATTCGAAGTTGGCATGGATGTTTCTATTAATACTTACAATAAAAAAATATCCTGGGTTAAATGGATTTCCGATGAATTTATCGTCCAAGAAGAGTTCACAGACACTCTCAGATTAAACCGGGTTTAGTATGTGATATATCTCCATGTTGTTGGCCATTAGTATTAATAGGGTATGGCCAATCTGTAAATGTCCATCTGCAATATTCAATATAACAGACAATAACACGTTTGAGATCAATACAGTCCAAACCCAAACCGTATATACACACACAATTTCTTCAAATGAGATGAGTCCGCGTCAGATCCTACCACAACTGCTGACTTTAACCACCGACTGGCTTTATAATGATCCCTCTTATGTATAAGTGTTAATAGTATTATAATTAGTGAAAGGTGAAGCCAGTACGATTAGCCGTAAAGAACACCTGGTTTGGAACAGGTGAGCAGTTAATTTTGCACTCATTAGTTGTCTAGTGTCGCGGATGCTCCTTATTTACCTGTACAGTTGCATATATATATATATATCATCTACCGGTGATGTAGACGATAGTAGTTGAAGTTAAAATATGAGTTAATTAACTGTAACAAATTAAAGGTAACAAGAAAGCCGATCTGTTTGGGTGTTGTATCAATCGACTGTCAGGCGAGCGAAATCAAACGGTCCCGCCTTGATCGATCGGTTGAATCAACATAATGATAACCTGTTAATGTGATACTGATGTAATTAGATTACAATGTATTATTGCATATTTGTAATTGACAGAAAGGAACATGAAAGCTGCACACTGCTCAGACAGAGACCTCATTCATTCGTCTGTGAACCTTCCACATCTGTGGTAAAAATTTTACTCCCTAATGCAGCCATTTATAAACACCAGATTTTTATTGTTTCTAATCATACATCAATCATCTTCAAACACCTTGAGATTTATGTCGTCATTAAATATACGTAATAGACAGCGAAGTAACGAGACATCTATCCTAAATATATGCCGGATCAACGGTACATTTATCACCTGGAATGGACGTTAATCATGTCACAAAAACATACAAAAATAAATAAGCACAAGAATAATTTGAATTCGCTATAATGTATCACATCGTCATAAAACAACGACTCATGAATACATACTGTGCAAGTAAAATAAAACAAGGGATTGTCAGAGACGGGTTATGCTCCCAGAATGGCACAAATTTAAGTATGAAAATTAGAAAGGCAATAACTCTTAAATTATGCAAAAGTGAGAGATATTTCTTGTGCACTGCGCTTCTACTTGTTTATCTTTGTAAAAAGGTAAAGTATCAAGCTATTACCTCCTGTAATTTTAGTGTAATGCTCCGAGCAATATTTCAATATGAAAAATAGCAAAGGGCAATAACTCCTAAATAATGCAAAAGAGAGAGATGGTTCTTGTGCACTGCACTCCTCCTTGATGAGATCTCTCTACCTATGAAATTTATGTGGATACCTCTTATAGGTTTTGAGTTATACTTAGGACAAAATGATGACAGACGGACAAAACGACTATATATATATGCTTTCCCCCGCCGGAGAACATAAAAAACAAAAATTAGGAAAACAAAACTGGCGCTCACCACTACCAGGGACCCGTTACGAATCAGATAATAGGAAATAAAAACAATTAGTGATGATAAACATAGCTTATCGTTTTCAATATGATGCGCTTCTAATTAAGATGATTCGATAGTACTTTTGTTTAATATAAAGAAATAATGATTAACAAACCTTTCTCGTTACTGCCTAGTCCAAACATCGATATACATATACAACCAAACACATTATATTTATACTCACAATGCTTGGCATTAAACAGGATGTTTATGTCAATAACGTACAACATAGATAGTAATTGTGAGTCACCCTTCGTGCCGCTAACTCAGGTTTCTGTCAGATGGTAATACGACTTCGAGTAAAGTCACGGTGATCTATTGAGCTGTTGTACTGAGACATACAGTTTTACTGTAGAAATGTCCATTCTGTCAGCTGTTTTACAGGTAAATATATGGATGCTAAGAATACTCATTAAATTAGCATATATAAAAACACATTTATTTACCACTTAATTTGTTGACTCCTATTAAGTCAAGTTATGTTGAATGTAGAACCTGGAAAGTGCCGCTTATCTGGACAGGTGTAATTAGTTATGTTTGATTTGATGTCTACTACATTTTCTTACCTGTAATTATATTCTTCATTTTTAATCTCATCACTTTGTAGCAGTAAGTTAATATGTGATTTAAAATTAAACCTAAGAAAAACAGGACACTGCATCCTAAATAAATGTACAGAACATAGTAAATATATCAAAATGTTTTCAGCACGATGTAAACAATTGAAACGGAACATAAATGACGTGTATTATTTTTTTTCATATATTTCTATTTCTTGTGATATATGCATTTAAGTAGGCACCTGGGCTTGCTTGGAGGGGTCATTTTCAGACATGATGAATATAGATTGCATTATTTTATAATTTCACAACTAAATTAAATGTCACCAAGACATCATATTGTCGTGACTTCTGAGGATTTACACACAACGGCTTCAAAATCCTTATAGATTAAACAGAAGGTGTGAAAAACCCAGACAGGTAGTCAGCTCTACAGTATGTATAAAATGAAGTTAACTGGGAAAGTATCCAGTGGTGTGTAAGAGATATATCCTATGGTAATTATACACAAAACTAATATGATAATACAAAGCATTTAAAATCAGATACTTATCATGAACGAAGTATTAAAAACATCAGATATTTATCGCGAGTGCAGTATAAAAAATATTTAGATATAAATATATTAAAAATCAGATACTTATCATGAACGAAGTATTAAAAAATCAGATATTTATCGCGAGTGCAGTATAAAAATATTTTGATATTTATCGTGACCAAAGCATAAAAAAATAAGATATTTATCGTGAATGAAGTATTAAAAAATCAGAAACTTGTTGTGAATGAAGTATAAAAATGTTAAGATATTTATCGTGAGCGAAGTAAAAAAATATTCAGATATTTATTGTGAACGGAGTATAAAAAGAAAAATTCAGATACTTATTGTGAATGACTAAACAGAAACCTCAATTGATTCTGATATAAGGCATGGTAAATGTGTGAGATTATTCACTCAAATCCAAACATACCAATGGGTTAATACTGAAGATCAGATACAATACAATGCTCGCAACAATGACATTGTCTACAAGGGTTTCTCTTCAGGACAATCCAGCCAAGTACTTCAATTTCGGGAATTTGGCCCGACAAGATTTTGATACATTGGAGGCCAGTTTTAGTAAGCATGCGAACAATCCTTATAAAATATATATTGCTGCTCAATATAATTATCATTTCTGTAGCAGACATTGTAGAAGAGGGACTGGTATGGAGGATAACAGTCAAGACAGTGATTCAACTATAACATTTCAACCTCTCAACATAGGATTTCAAAAGATGCAGGTCGATGAATTAATGGAAAGTTATGTAGTCGTCATCTCGTTGAGAAAAAAATTGTTTCTTTCTGCGATATGAAGCTGGACGTGTTTGATGCTCATTAATTTGTCTGTCAAATCCTTTGCTATATACATGTACCTTGTTCTCATTTCAGGACGTGGTAATACTAACTCGGATGGACCAAGATTTATATTGTGGGTGTTGTCGCTGAAGCAAAAAACACTTGCAATTCTAGAACACATGGTCTTATTTTTCTTGTACTTTTGTTCAATAATATCCATGTAGAGCTTTCTTTTTTGATAATTTTCC